ACCTGAACATATCAACAATATGTTCATACAATATACATGAAACATTTCGTTGATATGTTCAGGTATTTTTCCGGTTCTCAAGCTATCTGGCAAAGGTTTTCCTTCCTCTAATGACGTTGACTTATAAAACAAAGCTTCCATTAGGAGTTTGCTGCATTTTGGGTCTTCTGTAAGTAGAGGTTCAGCAGAAACTTGGCTTTTTAAAAACTGAGTGCTAAGTTGAGGTAAAGTAATATGGCTCATTAACTCCGCCAGATGAACCTTTCGATTATTTACATCGTGTTTAACCCAGTTTAACAAAATGTTTCATGTATTCCTTGTCGGCGGTTACGAGATCACCTCTGGGAAAGCACGTAGCATGTGCGAAGTATATGATATTTCTAAAAATAAACTTGTTCCTATCGCAAATATGAATCAAAAGAGATTCAGTCATTCTGTGATTTCCTTGAACGGTGTTGTGTATGCAGTGGGCGGACGGACTAATCGTTGTTATTTGACAAGCGGGGAACGTTATGATGTTTATGATAGTTGGCGTTCCATTGCGTCCATGAATAATCCTCGCAGTGATTTTGGGATTTGTACGCGCAATGATTTTATTTATGTTGTTGGTGGAAGCAATACATCAACTGTCGAAAGCTATGATCCATCAACAGACAAATGGGATCGGTGTACAAATGTACCTACGGACAAACATCTCTGTGTTCGTGCTACGGTTGTAGAAAATAGCATTTATACTTTGGCTCACAGATCTTCTCTTAGTTTCTGCTTTCGCTTCGATCCGACAACAACACAATGGCATACATTGAATAAAACTCACATTGAAGATGAATTTCAACTCGTCTCTTACGATAGCTCATTGTTCCTTATTGAAAATGATTATTGCAAACGTCTCGACTTGCGTATGAATAAATGGGAATCGATTCCTTCCCTGCAGTTCGAAAGATATGGTTTTTCGGCGGTGATAGCTGCTGATGACATTTACGTGTTGGGCGGTGCCACATCCCATTCGGCAGGGCACGATGTTACGAGTGTAGAACGCTTTAATATTCGTACTAATGCGTGGACTACAATCGAATCAATGGAAATAGAACACTATAAGGGAGGGGCTGCAGTAGTCAGCGGTTGAACTTTGATTAAATGCAAAAGGGTTATTAACGATTCCTATTAATTAACGAATGTTTCTTGACTCTTTTAAATATTTAATATATGTTTTACATCTTAGTCTGCCGAGAATGACATAAAATATTAATTATTTACGACATGTTTGACTTTGCGAGCAATAAATTGATTTGAATCAGTAAAATGTTTGATTTTATTTTCGTTTTAATTGCGCCTAGTAAACAGACTATCGACAAGCCCTCTGATTTGGGTGCGACAGCCACCCCAAATCTCGAGATCAATTTGTACGATTGCCTTTCGAACTGCAATTTCGTCCTTTTTGTCGAAACGTGCGCAGACGCAGAAGTTAATCGCATCAATATTAACTCCAATCTCTATTTTTATGATTACTTGAAGGATTTCAATATGTACGGCTTAAAAGCATTAAAAGTTGTCAGCAGGGCCAGAGCCAAAATGCTTTTCAGCTCTGCTGCCAATGTCAACAATTTTGTTACGAATAATGAATTTACTAAAAAGAATTTAAAGGCGTACATACCCAGGTCTTTCACTGAGAGATTTGGAGTCATTGGAAACATCCCATGCACATATAGTATCGATGATATAATTAAAAACGCCATATCCGATATTCCGATTAAGTCCGCTGTCCGTTTTCAAAGAAGAAACCCGAACAACAACAATGATGAGTGGATTCCCACAACCAGCATCAAAATTGGCTTCAAAGGGAGAGCCCTCCCTAAGTCAATAAAATATAATTATTGTTATCTGTCGGTTAAGTACTTTGTACCCACTTTCAACCAGTGCTTTAAGTGCGGTAGATAAGGTCACGTGTCAAAATTCTGCAAAGCCAAAGAGAGCAGGTGCTTTAACTGTGGGAAGTCTCCGAAGTGTGTGAACTGCGAGACGATGAAGTGCTTGTCCTGCGGTGCAGGTGAGCACAACACACTCAATAAGTGTTGCCCTAACAGGGAACTTGAATCAAATATCAACAGGATCATGGCAATTAAGAATCTTTCGTATAAATAGGTAAAAGAAAATTTTCCGCAAATTATTTCGAATGTCTCGATGACATCACTTATGACGACAATTTCCCTCCACTGGGTAACACGCCCGCAATTTCGACCAAGGATGATAACCAAAACGCCAACAAATTCTTAACCAAAAATAAAAATAATGCCGTCGTCAAAAGGAAATCGGTTCCTTCCAAATCTCCTCTCAGTTCACCCACCAAACCTTCTCCCAATACACCCCCCAAGTCGTCTGGAAGAAGTCCTCGGCGACCGATAATTTCAAACAACTATTTGCGGTCCTCAGAACTTGAAAGATTAATTCTCGCGATTCAAGAAAGTATCCGTCCGATGATCCCTCATAATCTTATTAAGGAATTTGAAGAAAAAATGTCTGTCTGTGCCATTTCTTGGCCCGTTCAAGCACCCAGTACTACGAGGAAATCCACTGGGGTTCTTTCTCAAGTTCTAACATGATATCCTTTTTAAAATATAATATTCAAAGTGTCCGACATAACCTATCTTTTCTGGATTTTTACTTAAACTCAAACAAGGTTGATTTCTGCATCTTAAGTGAAGTTTTTCTGAAAGAAGACAATTTTTTTGAAGTTAAAGTTTCTAATTATACTACAGCCACCAAATGCTGTACTATGTCCATCGAATACACTCCCAATGAAGCAATTTGGGCAATTCGCAACCACATCCTTCAACAGCTAAACGACGAATTTAAAGAAATCGCACGCGTTAAATCCAATCGTCTTTTCTATAAATTGAATCCCACATTTCAATTCAAACCCTTTTCTGTATCTTCTTTTAATTCCTGGGAAATCAAAATTCTTTATAGACTCATGAGTGGTCATACTTATGACAAAGTTTATTTAAAAATGATTCGCGCTATACCATGTGATGTTTGTGAAGTTTGCAATGTTGTTGAGTCTGCTGAGCATCTAATCTTCAGATGTCACAGGCTTGATGGCATTAGAGATTCCTTTAGCTTCTTCAAGTTATATGGCTGTCTCCTCGATCCCTTTGCAGCAAAAAATGTACGTCATCTAGGGGAACTAACTTGCTTTATTAGAAAAGCTAATTTATCTTTTTAGAATTTTTTTTTTTTCCCCCTCTTCTTTCCTTTTTTTTCTTTCGTTTTTGCGTTCAATTATCTTCTATTACAACAGCATTCCTTTTTGTTTTCAGCCAAAGTTTGCAACACTGCTTGACTTTCAAGAACTCAACAAGCACAATTACACTTGACATGCTGGCTCCAGTTATTACGGCCGCTATAATTATATATAATTTTTTTTTTGTTACGTTTTGTACATAATTGTGATCAAAAATTACGACATTTTATTGTCTGGACATATAAGCCACAAATCTATTGGCTTAGTCCATCTCCATTCAACATACCAAAAAAAAAAAAAAAAATCAGCAAATTTTTTGTTTTTATTCATAAGAACAAGTAAGAGGGGAAGAGGTATTCAGTCGCAGATACCCATTAAAGACCGTTTAAGAAATTCGTGGAGGATGTGTGCTTGAATAACACAATAGTTGCAAATAAAATAATTACTCCCTATCAAAGTCGTCCCCTTTCCGTATTTGCCTAACAGGACAACACGATCAAATATGTTAGGTTTCGCTTATCGTCGCTCAGACAACCTCAATGGATGTGAAATTAAAATTTATTAAAATATTATTAAAATTTATCAGACATAAATAACAAGAAGTGTTTTCAAATTTTTGTCTTACATCGGCTCGATTGAAATTCATCAAAAAATTAAAAGGTTATCATAAAGGCACTGTCTATAGGCTCGAAAGATTATACGATCAGCGAACTCTCTCACTTGTTACTCCAAAATATTTGTATGACCCTAACGTTAGTGTCACTCATGGCAATCTCTTGCAGTTGGTAATGACATCTTGGAATATGTCCTACTCGCCCATTCAACAACCTGATCATCTGATTATGCTTTAGATAAGTTTGGTCAATTATTCCATAATTAATTTATTCCATTCCAAAACCTTCACTTAAAATATTAAACGAATCCTGTCATAAGATTCCTTATACGGGTTGATTTTACATTTTGTGAAGGATGTATTAGCGTGCCTTTTTATAAGGATTTTTTCACACGCTACTCACTTATGCGAAAAACCAAACGAAAACGAATTAATGTTCATTTTCGATGCTACTCTGATAAACTGCAAATCTTCGACGTATATACGATTTATTGGCCATCACCGTGGAGGGGTATATTCGTTTTGTCGCAACGTTTGCAGCGCCCAGATGAAATCTTCAAAGTACCCACAAAGTACATACATTCTTGATTAGCATCAAATTATGAATCGATGTCCCTCTGTCCGTCTTCCAAGCGCACCCCTGGCCGCAAAAAAAGCTATCGATTTCAAATTTAGCAGAAAAATAGGAAATTCTTCTTACGCTCGCTCAATATTATAGGAGATGAGAATTTAGTTCTTCTCCTTTTTTTTGGATCATGGTGATTGGTATAAAAGATTCGGTCATGACTGAAAATCATTCTCTTACTCGTTTAATCTCAACTTTTGATTTTCATTCAATATATTTCCATTTAGTGAATTAATTCCAAGCCCACTCCATTTAAAAGTTAGTGTGAGCTGTTTATAGTGTCTTAAGTCTCATTTCATACGATCCTGATTTCAGTATTATGTCTCTGTCAAAGTAAATCTGAGTTATTCAAGGTACTCGTTTTTTTGAATGAATCTTATGCCAGAAGTTCTTCTACTTTCAAACTCATTGCACAATATTCCACAACCTAAACTCGAAGCTTAAACTTCTTGAATTTTCCAATCGTAGTTATCGTTCTCTTCTCCCAACGAATCGCTCTCATTTGCAGTTTGTTTCTGTAACGTATGTAATATTTAAGCTTTGCAAGGTTGTAAGTATTTTTATTTATATCATGAACTTATCGCACGTTTTCCGGCCTGGCTCGTCGGATGGGATGGATAAAAAAAAATGTAATTAGTTTCATGATCATTTTTTGTTACGCTACAAATGTTCCATTATTTAAAAAAAAACGTGCTTACGTTTAATTTGAAATTTTTCCCGGATAAATACAACACTATGCCCTGCCAATACTGTTTTTCCCCCACTCCTCAGTCACCCCCGGGCAGTTTCACCAGCTATTCAATACTTTTAATAATAACACATTTTTTTTTTTATTTTTCCAAAAAAAATAAGTTAAGTTAAATATAATTAAACTAATTTAAAATCTAAAAAAAATATCGCAATTCAAGGAAAATTATATTTTTTTTTATTTTTTTTTTTTTAGAAGAAGTAAATTATTTACAATTTATAGAATAATAAAATTATTCTTAATTAAGGTTACTCAGCTTTTTAATAGAAAAGTTTATTCGCAAATTTAGATTAATTTAATTTAACAAATAAAAGCAAACTTACCAAATCAAACAACCTCATCGATGCGCATCGCCGCAGCTAAATGATTTTTTTATCAGATTATACGTTTTAAAATTTTTTTTTAATAATAAGAAAAATAAATACAAAAAAATTGTAGTTTATTGATTCGATTGATTGATTCGACACGTAGTCGCGCATATATACATTATATATATATATATATATATTATTAAATATAGTATATATAGTAATACAGCCTCTCCAAAAAATCTATAAACCAGATTATAGTCTCTGCAAAAAAAAGAAACAAAAACAAACAAGCAATAAATATTAAACTCCTGCATAAAGGAATTCTACAATTCACATAGTCGTACAAATATCTAGAATTAAATGGTTTCTGGTGACCACGAAAAGATACTACTTTTCCTTCAAATGAATTCAACCCTACAACTTGTAGTCGAAAGCTACGCCCAAACGAAGCAAAATCCTCCTTAAATAGTTTCTTAGTAAAGAAATCATTTTTGATCCTTCTGATACTTATGCCTCATAGTTACAAGGATTTCGAAACGAACATAACCTCAACTGAGATTACCGAACGTAACCTGTGTAAAATCTGTTGCCTCCGAAATTCTT